TCCAACCCCTCGCCCAAGCGGGAGACCCTACACCATTTCTTACAAATGGCAGTCCAAGTCTCCAGTGATGGCGCTCCCACAACTTCTGAGAGTGGCGAACATATCCAACATACCTTTCACTTCCTGTTTTCCCCCACAACAACCCTGTGAGATAGGTTAGGCTGAGACAAAGAGATTGGCCCCCCAAATCACCCAACTGGCTTTCACAGCTAAGGCAGGACTAGAACTCACAGTCTCCTGGTGATTGGCCAGAGTCCCCCAGTCGGCTTTCATGATTATGACGAGACTAGAACTCACAGTCTCCTGGTGATTGGCCAAGAGTCCCCCAGTCGGCTTTCATGACTATGACGAGACTAGAACTCATAGTCTCCTGGTGATTGGCCAGAGTCCCCCAGTCGGCTTTCATGACTATGATGAGACTAGAACTCACAGTCTCCTGGTGATTGTCCCAGAGTCCCCCAGTCGGCTTTCATGACTATGACGAGACTAGAACTCACAGTCTCCTGGTGATTGGCCCAGAGTCCCCCAGTCGGCTTTCATGTCTATGATGAGACTAGAACTCACAGTCTCCTGGTGATTGTCCCAGAGTCCCCCAGTCAGCTTTCATGACTATGACGAGACTAGAACTCACAGTCTCCTGGTGATTGGCCCAGAGTCCCCCAGTCGGCTTTCATGACTATGACGAGACTAGAACTCACAGTCTCCTGGTGATTGGCCCAGAGTCCCCCAGTCGGCTTTCATGTCTATGATGAGACTAGAACTCACAGTCTCCTGGTGATTGTCCCAGAGTCCCCCAGTCAGCTTTCATGACTATGATGAGACTAGAACTCACAGTCTCCTGGTGATTGTCCCAGAATTCCCCAACTGGCTTTCATTTCTACGGCAGGACTTGAACTCATAGTATTTTACTTTCTACCCTGGTGCTTAAACCTCTAGGCCGTAAACTGGTTCTCAGTTAATTGCAGGTAGCTTTGCATTCCCTTTGGCTGTATCCATGGCTGGCTGGTGGGGGAAGGAGATATTATCCCCGAAGCCCAGACTTGTCCAACTTGAGATAATCTTCAAGACAACGCCCATTGTAATCAACAGCCTTAATTGGGCTTTGCACAATGGCAGCCAGATGTAGGGAAAATATAAAGCTGACAAGGCGATTAGCAAATCCATCCTATCTGATTGATTATGTGCTGTCACGTTTGCACAGACCTCATGAATAGATTTTTCCATGCCAGGATTACATAATTAAGAATAAAATAAAACACACTTAGCCCATTTAAAGAGATATCCTTCCTTAATTATTTGACAGCAGTTTTGGAATTCGTAATGTTGAGGGCGGCTTGCGTAAGTAGGTCTGTGCAATTTGTGCCTTGTTTGCTTTTTCAAATGTGACATCATCACTGCTTGTTATAACAATAGATTTCAAGCCTTAAAAATGTATTTTCCGCCATTCTGATAATAGAGGTAATATTCCCAACCGGCTTTTTTTTAAAAAAAAACAAATGTGAGTCACACCTTCTGGATTTAAATTGCTATTCTATGCTTATCCTTGTGAGAAGATTGGTGCTTTAATGCAAAATGTTTTTTTAAATAATTATTCATATTCTGTTGTTGTTTCCTCTGCAGCTCATTGATCTGCTGGCTTTGCATATCAATTGTGTGCTATTCATAGTGCTTTCTTAGTCATACGTTCTTTTGAGCATAGCTTGATCTAGAAAGGATTGATCTAATGCAGTCTTTGCTAGTCTAGTGCCCTCTATATGGATTAAAATTGCAATTTCAAGGGTTCTCCATTGAAATGCCCAGAAGGAATTACACAGTCCTAACAGAATATTTGGCGCTGAGGGTTGAATTGCAGGGTCCTTGATGTTCTCTGAGCTGGGTTATTTTCTTGCAGACGTTTCATTACCCAACTGGGTAACATCATCAGTGCTAGAAGGGAGTGGGGATTTATGGAGAGGAGGAGGAGGACAGCTATGAAGTCCTTGATGTTCTCTGGTTGTTTTCTTGAAAACGTTTCATTACCCAATTAGATAACTTCATCAATGTTAGAAGGGAGTGGGGATTGTGGAGAGGAAGAGTAGGAGGAGGAAGAGGAGGAGGAGAAGGAAGACAGTGGAGTCCTTGATATTCATTGAGCTTGATATTTTTCTTGAAGATGTTTCATTACCAAACTAGGTAACATTATCAGTGCTAATAGGTTGTGGAGTTTGCATGGGGAAGGGGGAAGAGGAGGATGACTCTGGAGTCCTTGGTGCTTGGTTGTTTTCTTGCAGACGTTTCATTACCCAGGTAGGTAACATCATCAGTGCTAGAAGGAGTGGGGTTTTGTGGAGAGGAGAAAGAAGAGAGAGAGAAGGAGGATAAGGAAGACAGCGGAGTCTTTGTACTCATTGAGCTTGATGGTTTTCTTGAAGACGTCTCATTTCCAAACTAGGTAACCTCATCAGTGCTAGTAGGTTGTGGAGTTTGCAAGGGGGGAGGACGATGTCTAGGGAGTCCTTGATGCTTGGTTGTTTTCTTGAAGACGTTTCATTACCCAACTAGGTAACTCCATCAATGCTAGAAAGATTTGTGGGGTTTGTGGAGAGGGGGAGGAGGAGGATTATGGAGTCCTTGATGCTGTGAGCTCGGTTGTTTCCTTGAACAAGGAGGAGGAGTAGGGAGTCCTTGGTGCTCTCTGAGCTTGGTTGTTTGATTGCAGACGTCTCATTACCCAGCTAGGTAGCATTATCCGTGTTAGCAGTTACAGTTCTCAACCTTAAGCCTGTTAAGACGCAGAAAGGGCACGGGGTTGAGGAAGGCTAAGAAGTCACGGATTCACAGATAGCAGATTCAGGCAAGACACTGAATTTCTGAAACGTCCAGGGGGAACTTAGGCATTAAAACCCGAGCGTGCAAATTTGTTCCCCACCTTCTCCTGCTTTTAATCCAAAGCAGAAGAGCCTCAGAGCTCAGCCGGACATTTCTTAGTAGCCAACACCGCTGACACTGGAAGGCTGAATATGAGTTAATGCAGGGAGTAACGTCATTAAAATGTGGATATTTGTACACGGGCCAGTGCTGTGGTTCGCCGGCAACAGATGCGGACAGCTGAGGTCTCGGAGAGCGAGGACTCGGATGAGGGGCCTGCGTGTGAGGCAGGGATGGGGCCAGGACCATCAGGGAGTAGAAAGCTGCCTTCGGAGATTGTAGAGGCTGGCAGCAGTGATGAAGAGGTCCCCGAGGAGCCTGTGCCAAGTACATGTGCACGCAGGGCAGCTTGAAGGAAAGAGCAGCTGCTGCAGCACGGGCGACTCGGGAGTAAGGCTGCAAGGTAATGGCCCCTCCCTGAGGAGATAAAAGCCAGCTGAGAAACCACCGTTTTTTTTTGCAGAAGGCAAAGAAGTTTTACACTCGAGCCTGGTGGACGTTACGAATATCTGAGCTGGTGTTTGGAGACTCTTTGTGTTGGAATTATTGCTTAGTAACTTTATCTGGTGTTCTTGGCATAAGAAAGAGCCTTTCTTGTCGGAGCTAATTGGTTTGAAGCAGCCTTTTGCCCGTGAAGGAACGGGATTCGTAAAGAAACATTAAAAGGTTGTGCTGTTACCTTTGTCTCGTGTTTGCTTCCTTGGAACCAGGTTTGGGTCAGAACAGGCAGAGCAGTTGAGACCCGTGATCTCGTCCCCAGTTGCTTGGAGGCCACGAAGCCTTTGAAAGGCGCCACTTGGCAAAACCGGCCGGTACAGCAAAGCAATTGCTCTCGATGTGTGGGGGAAAAAAAGGCAGGGTTCTTTCGGGGCCAAGGTTGATGGCAGCTGCTTCCAAGGATTTCTCCAGGGCTCTTCACCCATCCTCTGGGTGGGGACACGCGACACGTCCCTCTTCACGACCTGTGTCCCTTGCTACCTTCCGGAAGGGGGCTTCGTGGTCTCCGAAGCAGAACATCCGGATTCGGATGTAGGTTTTGTTCCGTGTAGCATCAACCTCGTGAACGCTCTCAAGTTGCTTCTTTCCGCTCTGGATTCCAAATGGACAGCGATATGTCTGTCTGTCTGTGTGTCTGTCTGTGTGTAAATAGATCAGGGGACTCCAACCTTGGCAACTTTAAGGCTTGTGGACTTCAACTTCCAGAGTTCAAGGCTTAAAGTTGCCAAGTTTGGAGACCCCTGAGATAGACAGAGAGAGGGGGGGGGGGCAGGCAGGCAGGCAGGCAGGCATGATAGAAAGATACATAGAAAGAGAGAGAGAGAGAAAGAAAGAAAGAAAAAGAAAGAAAGAAAGAAAGAAAGAAAGAAAGAAAGAAAGAAAGAAAGAAAGAAAGAAAGAAATCTCAACACTGGTCTTTCTTTCTCTCCTTCCTCCCTCTCTCCCTCCTCCTTCCCTCTCTCTCTTCTTTCTTTTTTTCCTTCCTTCCCTTCCTCCTCCTTTCCTTCCTCCTCCATGCCTCCTTTCCTTCCTTCCTTCCTTCCCTTCCCCTTCCATTCTTCCCTCCTTTCTTTCTTTTCTTCCTTCCCTTCTTCCTTCTCCTCCCCCATCCTTTCTTGTTTTCTTTCCTTCCTCCCTCCCTTCTTTCTTGTTTTCCTTCCTTTCTTTCCTCCCTTCTTTCCTTCCTCCTCCTTCCTTCCTTCCCTCCCTCCCTCCTTCCTCTCCTTCCTTCCCTCCTTTCTTTCCTTCCCTTTCCCTCCCTTCCTTCCTTCCTTCCTTTCTTTCTTATTACTCCAGACTGTTTTGAAAGAGGGGCACACATTTTTTTAGAAATAATAAACCAAAAGTGGTTCTCTTGATTGCCCCAGCAGCGGCGAGAGGAGAGACGACAATAAAAAAATAAAAAGTAGATCAGATACGTTAAGAGAGCTGCTCCAAAGGGCCGCACACAAGGTGGCCAGGAGAGTCCATGGGACTGAAGGGAGCCCTTGTTTTCAGTGAATGAAAGGAGAGGCAGTTCTCTTAACACGCCTGATAATCCGTGACTTGATTTTTTTTCTCTCTCTCTCTCTCTCTTCTTTTTATGTTGATTCTAGATTTATCAGCCGCTCGATGGGGATTCGCATCTCTTCTTCACCTTTGTGTAGCCAGCAGAACGACTTCAGCACCTCTTCGTTTCTCATTATGAAACTGGTATTAACTGAATGGCAATTATGGATTTTTAACTCTAAATCCCAGTAAGCAAAACAAAAAACAAAAAAAAAGAACCACCCCACAACAACAACAAACAACAACAACAAAAGGAAGCCGCCAAGCCATATGTTGGGAAAAAAATCCTTTCTTTCTACCAAATAAGTTTGGATGTTCCTCTACGAATGTTGGAAAAGCCTTTGTGAAGATTCGATGCCAAACCCCCGTTTTGCTCCTGAGGGAAATTACAAATATTTGCTTGCACACAAGGAACGGGATGCCATGAGGAACAGCGGAAGGCACCCTAATTTATTGCAAGAGATGACAGAATTATTTATATAGAGATTTTTTTAAAAAAAGAAAAAGAAAAAAAAAAGGAGAAATTTTTTAAAAATCTATATATAGAGATAATAGATATAGATATACAAATATATATATTGTATTTTTTATGGTGATGAAAATGGCTCCCCAGAATGCTGACTCAGAATCTATGCAAGTCCAAGAGCTTCCGGGCGTTCAGCTCCAGAAACCGGAAAAAGAGCGCGAGAGCAAAGAAGAGACGATTAGCGAAGGATCCATAGACCGTATCCCGGTACGGCTATGGGTGATGCACGGCGCTGTCATGTTTGGCAGAGAATTTTGCTACGCGATGGAGACAGCTTTGGTGACGCCGGTATTGTTACAAATTGGTAAGTCAAAATGTGCCGGGCCTCCATAAGGAGATGGTGGCTGTCTTGAACGTGGTGGTTTGCTTGGGAGACATTTCATTACCTGACTAGGAAACAGCATCAGTGCTAGAAGGGAGTGGGGTTGGTCCTCAAGGTCATCGGGGTCACCTGAGTAGTGCAAATATGTTGAGTCTCTAGAAAAAGTGCAGAGAAGAGCAACCAGGATGATTAGGGGACTGGAAACTAAAAATATGAAAAACGGTTGCAGGATCTGGGCCTGGCTAGTCTAGTGAAGAGAAGGACCAGGGGAGACAGGATAGCGGTCTTCCAATATTTGAGGGGCTGCCACAGGGAGGAGGAAGGGGGTCAAGCTATTCTCTAAAACACCCGAAGGCCAGACAAAGAATAATGGATGGAAACTGAACAAGGAGAGATTTAACCTGGAAATAAGGAGAAACTTTCTGACAGTGAGAACAATCAACCCATGGAATACCTTGCCCTCAGAAGTTGTGGGAGCTTCATCACTTGAGACTTTCAAGAAGAGATTGGACTCCCATTTGTCAGAAATGGTGTAGGGTCTCCCAATTGGGCAGGGGGTTGGACTAGATGACCTACAAGGTCCTTTCCAACTCCGATTATCTGTTATCTGTTAAATGGTTCCTTGTAGTCTGCAGTTTTCCTCTGGAAATCCATTCCTACTCTCACACCATTCCAAGGGTGTTCATCCCAAAGTGCGTAGCTAAAAGTCTGTGGAGATTCTCCGCCATCCAGCTCATGGTTGTCCCAAAGGTGCTTTTTCAAGAGGCAACTGGACTTTCTGGGTTGTTGGGGTTTTTTTGGGGGGTGGGGAAGGAGACAGAGTTGATCCTTCAGGGCTGCCCCGTGTCTTACTCCAAACCTTACTCGGTTATCTAAATTAGCTCTGCAGCAGATGGTATTTTGGTTTTTATCTGCCTGGATAAGAGATAAAAGCATTTTGCTAAATGGGCCTCAGTCAGCTCATCGCCTGCCTAACCAACCCCACACAGCGTCGCTTAAGATAAGGATCATACTCCGTTCCAGCTCTTTTAAGACAAGGGTGAGAAGCCTTTGGCAAAGTTTCGGATTTAAACTGCGTCAAGGAAGTTGGCTGCAAGGAACTGCAGGCGGTCCTCGGTTTAGTGACCACAATTGAGCCCAAGGTTCCAGTTGTTATGTGACACACTCGTTCAGTGGAGGGTTTGCCCCATTTTACGACCCCAGTTCTTCAGTGAATCCTTGCCATCGATGAAGTGATTGTTAGTAGCCCGGTCATTAAGTGCATCGGGCTTCCCTCTGGACTGTGCTCGTTGGAAGGTCGTAAAAGGGGATCGCGTGACCCTGGGGCACTGCAACGGTCATAAGTAGGAACCAGTGGCCAGGCGTCTGAATTTGGATCATGTGGTCATGGGGATGCTGCAAAGGTCGTAACTGTGAAAAACAGTCATAAGTCGTATTTTTCAGTGCCGTTGTAACTTTGAACAGTCACTAAACAAACTGTTGTAAATTGAGGAGTACCTGCACAAAGCTTCCCCAGTTACCTTCATGCAGGGCAGGCTGGGAATTTAACGCTAGTGCTCAAAAAAAATGGATTTGGCCTGAGCTGGAAGCCCCAGTGATAAATGCACCTGAAAATCCTATCCCCGTAAATTGATCTCCTAATTGAAGGTGGATTGGAAAGCCGATGATGTAAGTCTGTGGAGATCCTCCATCACCCAGTCATGGTTCTCCCAAAGGTGTTTTTCTTCAAGAGGCTACTGGACTTTCCGGATTTTCTTTGAAGATGTTTCCCTTTTCATCCAAGAAGCTTTTTCAGCTCGGACTGGATGGTGGGGAACGGAAGGATTGATACTCCTTTTAGACAGCTGGTCATTTGCCTCTTTTTAGAGCCATTGAGGCCACTTGGAGGTTTATCCGTGGTAACAGTGGAAAGGGGTTTTATCCACACCCACTTGCACTACTCAGGTGACCCTCAGGATGCAGATAAACCTCCAAGGGTCACCTGAGTAGTGCAAATGGGTGTGGATAAAACCCCTTTCCACTGTTACCACAGATAAACCTCCAAGTAGCCTTAACGGCCCTCTAAAAAGGATGCCAATGACCAGCTGTCCGCAAGGAATATAAATCCTTCCATTCCGCCTCATCCTTTTATTGAAGAAGCTTCTTGGACGAGAAGCGAAACGTCTTCAAAGCAAAATCCAGAACGTCCAGTTGCCTCTTGACTAAACATAGACGACGTAGGCTGCGTGGAAACTTCAGCTGCTTTTTTTTTGCTAAGTCATGTCCAGCACCGAGGAGGTAAACAGCGGGCGGCAAAGTTTGCAAAACGTCAGCAAATAAGGAGCTTAGCTTGCGAAACGCTAAAACTCCACGGGGAAGTAATTCCGCTTGGAAATCTCTAAGATGTTCCCTTGAAGCCGGTGAGCCCTGTCCTGCCCTGACATGTCCATGGAAGGGGGGGGGGGGGGGGGGGGGGGGGGGGGGGGGTGCTGCCTTGCTCCAAAGGAATTTCCCTGCAACCAAGAAAATGCTGGTTCCAGACCTCCCAAAGGGAGGTCATTTTCAGGAATGGGGCGATGAAACTGCCAGAGTTCACGAGACTCGTCCTCCTTGCAGAAAGCCAGCTTCTAGTTGTAGATCTAACCTAGAATTAAGGAGAAGTTTAATCTAGAATAAGGAGAAATTAACCCAGAACTGAAGAGAAATTTCCTGACAGTTAGAACAAGTTGCCGGCGGAATGACTCACCTCCAGAACTTGTGGGTGTTCCTCCATCAGTGGAAATTTTTTTAAGAAGAGATTGGGCAACCGTTTGTCTGACATGGCATAAGGTTCCCCCTCTGGGGCTTTGGGAAATAAGCTGACCCCCTCCTCTTTGTGGCAGCCCCTCAAATACTGGAATATTGCTATCGTGTGCCCCCCGATCCTCCTTTTCTCTAGACTAGCCAAATCCAAATCCTGCGACCGTTCTTCATATGTTTTCGTCTCAAGGGCTTTAATCATCTTAGTTTGCTCTTCACTACACATTTCCCAAAATCTTGACATCTTTTTTGTAATGCGGTGACCAAAACTGGATGCGGTGTTCCAGGTGTGGTCCTTACTAAGGCTTTATCAAGCGGTGCTAATACTTCACATGATTTTGATTCTCTGCCTCTGTTTAATACGACCAAGGATTGTATTAGCTTTTTGAGCTGCCGCCACACACTGCTGGCTGCTTTTTGTAAAACCATCAGATTTCCCTTCTAAATGTTGTAAAATCATCAGATTTCCATTCTGAATTTTGTAACACCATCAGATTTCCCTTCTAAATGTTGTAAAATCATCAGATTTCCATTCTGAATTTTGTAAAAGCGTCAAATTTCTCTTCTGAATGTTTTAAAAATCATCCGATTTCCATTCTAAATCTTGTAAAATCATCTGATTTCCTTTCTGAATTTTTGTAAAATCATCCAATTTCCATTCTGAATTTTGTAAAATCATCCGATTTCCTTTCTGAGTTTTGTAAAATCATCCGATTTCCATTCTGAATTTTGTAAAATCATCTGATTTCCTTTCTGAATTTTGTAAA